TGGCAGTTGCCCCATGTTATTTTTTTTAATACTGTATAAAATGAAATCCCATGTAACCATCCCTCAGACCCTACGGTTATTAAAAAAAAATGGAAAAATGTTTTTAGTCTAGTTTCCTAAGGCAAGGAAGCACATGCAGTAATGTGGCTGTTGTCCATCAGTCCCTCCCTAATACTTTTGACCCATTTAACCAACTCAATCAGCATTAACAAAGGAACAGAGACCGCTGAGAAACTAAGGTCTGCAGAAATGAACAGGCGGGCAGCAGAGATGTGTGCTCTTGTTGCCTCTTTTGAAGGAAGGGGCAGGGAGAGTTCAGCTTTATCCTCCCTGTTCGGCTGGCCTAACAGCTAGGAGGCAACAGCTTGCTCTTCCCTGAGCACATTGGTGTGCACTAGCCGCGGTACCCGCTACTTCTCGCCCAGGCGGAAAATTACAGCAAGGCAGATGAAGGATAAATGGGTTTGGGATGAGAAGCAGAGGAGTTAGGGGCATCTAGGGGATATGAGAGGGAATGAGTGTGTGTGTGAACGTAGGACTTGAAAATACCAGGCTGCAGCATTTCCCCCATTAATAGAATGTTAAAATGTGAAAATGTTAGAATATGAATAAAATGAATGTTAAAATATGAAAGTGTATTAACATCTTGGTTGAAAAAAATGGAACTATTTTCCTCAGATTTTCCCTCTCTGACAGAAACACAGTCTGGAACCAGTCTTTTTAGCCTGAAACTGAAGTGATACAAAACTGGCATCAGTTAAACCAGATCAGCCATAGGAACAAAGTGCCTACCTTCACTAGCCCTTTACTGTATAACAGAACAAAAAGAATATAGATTATTCGTAAGTCGTTAAGAAAATAGTTGTTTTACACAGGCACACAGGAAGTAGAGTTAAGCAGAGCTGGGAAAACTTAGATGGTTTGGTATGAGACTATCTTCTCCTGGTGCACTTGTCAAACAGTTTTGACAAAAGAAATCAGGCTGCTTTTGAAGGCTGCTTTTGAAAGCTGAGTAACACGATCACTAAAGAGAAACAGAATGGTGTGACTGCAGACATATGCAAAACCTTCCATAGGTCTTCATATGCTTAAAATTACATATATCCCTAAGTCTGAATGACTGAATCCACATTAATCGAGAGATTAGAAAGGAAAAGGTTTTCTTAAGAAAAACATCTTGAATATTTTGATAGAAGTGGAACTCTTAAAGCTTTGGACACCTCAAAAGGAGAGCACACAAGTAATTTCAGTAGATACTACTGGAAAAAAATGCTTGGACAGATTTCCATAAATTGTAATAGCTTAGCAGTTCTCTAAAATATGGAAGTTATTTTGACCCAAATAAATGTTAGAAAACATTTCAGTTAATGGAATCTGGATGTAAGAGGGTTTCAGTCTAATAGCCATGTTCTGTAGAATTTATACTATACCAGGACTATTTTTAATCTAAGAAAAACATGGAAGTTACATTGTTATGCTTGGGCGTAACTGCCACACTCTATTAGGACAGTGGTAGAAAGCCATTAAGCTGCTTTATGGAAGCAGACAACCAAAGCAGCTGTAGGACCACTGAAATCATAGTCCCCAAGCAAAGAAAGGAACACATCATACTCAAGAAAGGATTTTGGTACATATTATTTTGTAGAAACGTATGTGTTTGAGAGAAAGGGAAAGAAATGCATTGAGAAGCGCCACAAAATCAGACTCTGAGAAGGTACAGAAAACCACCAGCCAGAGTAAGCACCAAAAAGGTGACCCAGACAGACCCGCAGAACTTTCTAGGCCTGAAATCCGGCTTTTAGAACTGCGAGCAAGTAAATTCCCCCTTACAGTTTGACTTCTGCCATCTGCTGAGCAGCAGCTCCTCTGTATACCCTCTTACGTTATTGTTGACACCACAATTAATTTCTCCTTCTAATTATAATAACCCGCAGGACCCTGTATTTTGGCCAAGTGCTTGGGTCAGAGCTGGAACACCACTATTTAGAAGGGCAGAGTCCTCTAAGTCATTGCACCAATGCAGATACTGATCCAGATACTGCAGAAACTGCAATGAAACGAGCTGTAATTTTAATTCCTTGACAGGTCCTACGTGATGTCCTACACACATACGTAATGTACCGTCTTGTCAGATATTGAGAAGTACTGAGAACTCCCGGGAAGATACAATGCTGCAACAAAATCAAGTCTGCAGGCCCCAGTTCAATCAGATTTGCTTGTCTAGGTCAAACTGCAGGATAACAGGTGCTAAGAATTTAAAATTCAGCATAAGGATCTTTGGTTAAATACATTAATGGGCCTAAGTATTATAATATCTAATTCATGGGGCACGCTACCCAGTGTAATTTAGGATGCTTAACTGGGAGAAGGGCAGGTTAGGCATATAAAAATTTAATTCCCAAAAGTCAGTCAGATGTTGAACTAGATACCAGGCCTTATAAGACATGTAAGAGCCAACAGAAAATGACAAGAAGTTGTACCTGGGATTGATTTTTGTTACAGAAACAACATCCTTTTTATTCCTCAAATAAATAAATAGCTATTCTTTAGAGCAGGGAGATTGTCTAGATTCATGCTTACATCAGTGTACAGTTCTACCATAGCTTCACTCGGTATTTATATCCCAAAAAGTGGATCAGCTCCAAGAAGAAAGTTTTAGAAGCCTGCTCTGGAACACATGTGATGCAGATCATTCTCCTGAGACATGGAAGACCTGCATTTAACTGCCTGCTCCCAATCAGGTCATTCAGGATATAAAAATAACCGCCCTGCTAAATGCCATAATCACAGAGCTACTGAGTATAATGAGATGTGTACTTAGCAAAGCCTGTATGCAAGATGTACAAATGTATGTATAAAGATGTCTGTAGCTGTGCCCTTTGAACATCAACTGAGATTCCCCGCAGATTAGATGGCAAAAGCCACGTCCAGGCTGAGAATCCCAGCGGGTTTCAGGCTTTGGGCTGCTAACAAACTGAACAGCACTGGCATCCGCCTTGTGTCTACTATTAGCACTTAAATCCTTAAGTAACTGCATAGCTATGTAGGTCTGAGCTCTTTGGATTCGATCCTTTGACTCTTTTGATGCTGAACAAACACACAGAGGCATGGTTTCGTTGAACTCGCAGACCGATGCTTGCCGAGGGGAAGCGATTTTGTGTTCCCCGATTAGGCGAAACCCTTTCCCACAGCATGCAGAGCCGTGAGTCACCCAGCTACGCCTGGCACAGCAGACAGGTCCCGCCCGGCGAGCAGGGCAGGGACGCGGGGCCCGGCCCCCCCGCA